TACTTTCTCCAAAGATTTATAATTAATACACCAAGGATTTCAATGTTACTCTTTAGCCCTGAGATCTCTTCAGTGCCACACATATTTGCCTTCCAATAATTTATACACATGGCTGAGATTCCAAAGGAATGATTGTAGAATCAGTGATCTCTATAGGGGTTCTGACACTGACTTGCTCAGTGTGGCTTTGGGTGTGCTATTCCGTGTTCTCCATCAGACATTACAGATTCCACGTGGAATACAATAAGGATTAGTTTCTCTGTAACTCTTCTGGAGTTAGTTTGTCCTTTTTTCCCCATTCCACAGAGTCATTGTATGGTAATCTTTTCATATATCCAAAGAGATTAAAGCCAGCATTTTCAGCCTTGGCTTTTTGGATTTACTTATTAGCTCAGGTAATACTTAATTTAAACACAATGCCTTGGATCAAAGTATTCCTTCTGCAAATGGAAGGACTACTGTTTTCATAAGTCCAAGATTCAATTCCAACAACAGCGGAAGTGGGAGAGCTCTATGAACCCTGCAATTCTCATGTTTCTTTCACATTTTGCTATTCAGAGGTTTATGGGGTGTTGATAATAGAATTGCCTTCGTAGATTCTTCTAGCAGGAATATCCCATGAATGCAGTTTCATTAACAAAAACCCCTCTGAATTAATATCATTAGTACAATATATTAATACGAAGCAATTGGAACACTTATTCCTGAGAATGAACTTACTACTACTCTGAACACAAAACCATATTTCACACTTTTTTCAAAGATAGGCTTTTTTTAGTTAAATAAGTTTGCTTTTTTTATTGTGCAGTTTAGCAATGATGGGCCAAGCTTAACTGTGATGGAGATATGATTGTAAAAATAGATCATTGTCTTTAATCATTTTTTGCTTTTGTTGATGTCAATACGTTTACCATTGTCAGATTCAAATCACAACTGTGTAATTATGTAAAAAGTCTTTTTTATTTATTTGAAATTAGGTTTTAGATATGCTTTTTAAAAGATTTTAACATCTGGCTGGACAGTGTTCCATTAATACATTGATTGTGTCTTTCTTGTCTTGTGTTAATAAATAATGATGCCTGTCTGTTTTTTATTATATCATTAACATTTTATCCCATGTTTTTTTCAAAGCCTGTTGGATATTACCAACTTTAACTCCAGTTGGTGAAGTCTGCACATATAATATTTCCTTGTCCAATTAATTCCACACACCCCTATAAAGAAAATTGAATGGTGAGATAGTTGGCCAAATAATCTAGTGAGTTTCTGTGATTGAATGTTATTTGGAACTCACTAATCCTAGTCTAATTCTAATCATTACAGGACTTATTTGAAACACTAAGCTGATTTTCGGCAAACTCCCTGAAGTTAATTACTATAATTAAATTATTTTTTAAAAAATAAACAGAACAATCCGCAATTTTTTTTTAAATAAATGCTAACTCAAAAAGGGAAAAACACTGTCATTTGTGCTGTTAGTTCTCCTACACTCCTGCAGAGCAAGTCTTCTGGCATGAATTAAGGGCTAGGAAGAAAAGCAGAAATTTCTATCACTCAGGCTGAAGCTCAAGACAACCACAGAAAAGTAATCAAGAATTTGTGATCATCTAGGCCTACTGGATTTTTGCAGCCCATATCCCAGCTAAGGCACTCATGTCTGTCTACAAAGTGCATTCAGGTTTCTATCACTGCTGGCAATAAACAAGAACACTACCCTATAATGAACTACTGAAACTGTACTTTGGGGGCAACGTGCTTCAAAGATACCCTATTGTAAGGCAATATGATTTTGAAACATCAGGCAACGAGTGTTTATGGAGATTCCCAATCATCCAGGTCATGATTGGCCCAAAGGTGTTTTTTCAAGAGGCAACTGGACTTTCTGGTTTTTCTTTGAAGATGTTTCGCTTCTCATCCAAGAAAATTCTTCAGTTCTGACTGGATGATGGGGAATGGAAGGATTTATAATCCTTGCAGACAGCTGGTCATTTCCATTCTTTTAGCAAGTTGTGAAGGCCACCTGGAGGTTTATCTTCATTGTCAGGGTCTCCTGAATGGTGCAAACGTGTGGAGCCTTCTTGGAACTGTTCAGAGGACTGTGTTGTAGTTGGAGATAGATGATGTTGTAACCCACCCACTCTGTTAGGAGAGGGGGCTGTTCAATTGACATAGTCACTAGTATAGGTATGTGGATGATACTTGGGTCAAGATCAAAATACAGGAGAAGCATTCACCAAACATCAACTCTGGACAGATACATCAAATTTGCACGGGAAGATCTTAAGGAAAATAGTCTAGCCTTCCTGGACTGTAGAGTACACATTAAGGAAGACAGAAGCCTTGACACTGAAGTTTATAGAAAACACACAAACACATCAATATTTTGATTCTCACCATCCATTGGAGCACAAAATGTGAGTCATCAAAATCCTACATCACTGAGCTGAAGGCCTGCCTACCAGCAAAGATGGTAAAGAAAAATAAAACACATCAAGGAAGCCCTCAGAACATGTGGCTATCCCAAGTGGGCCTTCATCAAATCTCAAAAGACCCTACAGACAACCATAACAGACAACACAGAAAACAATAAATGAACCAATGTCAGTCCAGATGTTGCAGGAATATCAGAAAAAACTCAGGAGTATCTTCAGCCAACAAAACATGTGCATACCTTAAACCCAAGAATATACTAAGGCAGAAGCTTGTCCACCCCAAGGATAAAACACCCAGACACAAACTGAGAAATGTGGTATTTGCAGTACAATGCAGTGAACCATGTGCAGATCTGTACACTGGGGAAACAAAACAACCACATCATAAATGTATGGCATAACAAAGCAGAATAAACCCATCAGGACAAGATTCAGCAGTCCATCTGCATTTAAAAGACGAAGGTCACTCTTGAAGACAACAAAGTCCACTTTTGGACAGAAAGGACCACTGGTTTGAAAGGGGTCAAAGAGGCCATCTATGTCAAAAGTGGACAGCCCTCTCAACAGAGGAGGGGGGATATGACATCTATCTCCAGTCTTCAACACAGTCAACAGCTCCAAGAAGGCTCCACCCCATTTGCACTATTTAGGTGATCTTGACCACACAGATAAATCTCCAAGTGGCCTCAAGGAGTCTCTAAAAGAATGCAAATGACCACCTGTCTGAAGGAATATACATCCTTCCATTTCCCACCATCCAGTCAAAGCAGAGGAACTTCTTGGATGAGAAGTGAAATGTTTTCAAAGAAAAACCAGAAAGTCCAGTTGCCCCTTGAAAAGACACCTTTGGCATATCAGGCAAAGGAGCACGTGTAAGAGCTTGACTTTTAATTGCACCATATACTGTACCATGTTAAGGAAACATAGAGGCTATGATTCTTTTATCTCTAATAAGACAAAGCAGGTATTTGGTTTTGTTGAAAGGCTGGAAAATGCCTTTCTTTTGAGGATTCGATTTTCCTGCTGGGAGGGCTCCAGTGCAAGGACACAGACAGAGACAACTGCTTGGAAGCGGGTTCCTTTAATTTTCAGGAAGGCAAGAGATAGCAAGAAGTCTGCGTTCCTGGGGCTAGCCATCTTTGTATAATAAACTCCTGATTTTTATACCTTTTCTCCTTTTGTGTGTGAGTGCTTGTGTTTGTATTTCTTAATGTTTTAAATCCTGTCAGGGGGTTGTCTTCATTTCTGCCAGAGGGTAAACTCTGCGGGGTGGTTTGATTGGATTATCAGTTTCATCCTAATGTTTTCTTATATTTGTTTGGTGGCAATCTCCTGTCTGCTATGGAATTTATTTCGTGTCTTTTGTCTATTTGTTTTGCTGATTTGGCATGACCTTTTGTTTGTAAGGGATTTCTTTTTCTTGTTTCCCTAGCTTTCTTAATTACTTGGCTTTTGTCTAGGGGGCTTCTTTCAATACCTTTTATTAAATCTCTTTTCCTACGCAAGTTTGTTTTATGGCTGGCCTGATGTTCCCTTTGGGCTTTTCCTGCTTGGGTATCACCACTGTCCTCATGAAGTTCCCTTTCCAGTTTAAAATTCTATGGTTCACTGGCATGATGCAAAACAATGGTACCAGCCTCTAATATAATTTACAAGGATACAGCTAAAACCCATATAAATATCATAGCTATAAAAATAGTGACTGCTGAGAAGAAATGCCAAGATAGCTTTAGCTAAAAAAAGGAGGCAATAGGCAATCTCACCAATTTATTGGGTGGTTCAGTCCATTCCTACTCTTCATGACCCAATGGATATAATTTCATCACGATGAGGAACTATTTCTACCGTCCTGTAAACTGCGATTTATTTTTTACTAGCCTCACCCAACAGAGTTTAATTGGTGAACAGGCAATCATTTTGTGAGTGTGCACAAATTCTCAACATCTAGAATGTATGTCCACCCCAAAAGCCGCCTCCTTTCAGTAATTTCTTGTGAAAACAAAAAATACCTCAATTCAAGACGAAAAAAGCCAACAGATCTTCAGGTCCAAACTTTTCTTTTCACTTCCTCCCATTGCACAGAAGCGGAAGAAGCGCCTTATCAGCTCTCAATTTTTAAATTCGCAGCCGGAATGTAAAGTCTGGAGTTACGTAGAATAGGTCAAACCGTTTTAAATGCACACCTGGGTTTGAACTGTTTTCGCTTGGCCGCTGCGTCTGTAAATATATATAAGTTTTTTACTAACACTGCTTTTCTAAGACACAGGCCAAGATTGCAACCCTAAAGTTGCTGATTTGAAGTCACTTCTGAGTACACTTAAGTAGAATCAGGATACGACCCTCTGTATGCAGATTTAATGGTACTTCGCTCGCAATAAAAAGGCACGGAAAGGCACGGAACCAGAGACTCCAAAGGCCTCAAAAATACCCATTGCTTTGCCACTCTAGCTTCTACAGGCGTGCAACTCTCTGATTCCCGGCTGTGGTTAGTCTAGACCAAGGGAAAAAGAGAAACTCTATTGTTATCAGGCGGTAGCAAACTCTAGTGCTGGCCTCCGGCGCACTCTATAGTCACAACCCGCCCACCAAAGAGCAACCGCAGGGTAGCGTCCCCCTGGCGGGGATTAGTTTGGTAATGCTGACAAGTACTGGTGGGTCCGGTTTCTTGAGGCGTTAGGGCGATTCCCTCTCGGCAACGCGAAGTCGAGGCGAAGCCCGGAAAGCCTCTGAGGTAAAAGCGGGCGCGACAGCCAAGCGACTCAATTTAGAGCGCGAAGCAGATCGGACGCGACTGAAACCAGCGAGCGCGAGCAGGAAGAAGAAGGGGGGGAGGGGGGGGGGGCGGGGAGAGAAGCGGCTGAGCAAAGTCCGGGGAGGGTGGGGGCGTTGGGCGACCCCTTTCCAGAGCACGCGCGCATAAAAAAGGCGCGAGGCGCGAAGTGGGGTGTGTGTGCTTTGGAAGCGGTTGGAATTTGGCGGGAGGGGAAGCTTGCGATGAGCCGCGTCTGTGCAGATGAGCGCTCAGCCCTTCGTCCCCAGCTGTTGCACAAGCACCGGGGCTCGCCCGCTGACATCCTTACCTTCTTGCCGCGACTTATCAGTCCAAAAGATCAGGGTTTCCACACACACACACAAAAGGGGGGGGGGGCAAGGCTTACCGTAAGCTCTCGCTGGTCTCCGTCTGCCCAGTCAGTTTACACCCGCTTACCGTCCTCCCCAGGCCATTGGCTTCAAGCAGAGCCGACTTTTTAACATGTGCCGACGCCAGGGGATGGGAGTACTTTTTAGAGCCAGCAAATGTCACAGAAGTCGGCTTGCTCGATACTCCGCGGCGGTGGTTGGTGCCAGTGCAAATATCGGGTTAGGTAGAGGTTATGCTCCACTTCCAGCAGACCGTCAAGTGCCAGAATCAGTAATGATTTTATACCTTATTAAAATCCTTTAAGAAGAATTAAGTCCACGGTAGCCCGAAACCGGCAATCTTGGGCCGTTTTCTACTAAAAGGCATTTGTTTTTGTGAACTACAACTCACTTCATCGGATGCATAGACTAACATATGATTTAAGTTAGACTTGGGAGCGAAGAGGAAGGAAGACGGATGACATAGAGGTCAGATTACACATGCTCTATCAATAATTATAATGAGTTATATTGGGACCTTTGAGATAGCCTGAAATCTTCTAAATTTAGGTGAGCTCAGCAGTCTCATTCAAGTTGTACTGTGGACTTAACATTGGTTTCAGAGTTACTCCAAAATCTGTCACAAAGATTTAAATCATGGGTAGAAATGCCGATATTACTTTTCTTTTGAGTTTGATGTGAAATGACTATTAATTATTTTGTGCAAATTGTCTTATGTAGCATTCAGAAGGGCATTTCTGGGCATGTGGAGGAAGAGTGTGTGAAGGCACCACTAATTTGTTACAGTAAATGAGGGGGAAAGTAGGCATCTGCAGACTGTGGAGAGTCTGGTTACCTCATTAGTATTATTTCCCTGTTTTTGATTACTTGTGAAATCAGCTTCAGGATGTCTGCATGCAAGTACAGTCCTGCTACCCAGTGCCTGAGAAAGTGCAATGTCATTGTCCAGTATGGGTTGTGTTTTATTAATACGTTTGAATGAATTGAGGTATAGGTTGGACAACCAGTGATGTTCTGTTCTTGTACAGCAGTCTACCTTATAACTGGTCTTCTATGGAATTGATCTGCCTCTGTTAATTTGTTTGTTACACTTTCCTTGTTTTTTTTTTAAAGTTTGCTACACATTTCATGGGGAGGAGAGAAGGCTTGCATAATCATTTCGCCCAGTTGTTCTTCCCAAGGAGTCTTGCCTGACACAAACTGATACTCTTTTGGTGCCAGGTGGAGCCTGATTTTTTCAGATTTTTATTTAATGTTTAAATAAATCATTGCAAATTGTTTATTTAAACTCTTTTAATAATAACCATCTAATGAATTCTTCAGTGTGGCTCTAGTGGCCTGTTAAAAATGCTGTCACTGTTTTTACTGTGTTTATTTTTAGTCTCATTTTTATTTAAGTGTGTCTTTTGTGAGTAGCATACAGGGTTTTTTATATTGAAAATAGGGATCCAAACTCATAAAATAGATATATGTGCCTGAAATATGAACAACACATTGTATTTTTCAATATATGGAAACAGTTATAATTATAACAAAAAACGTGTATTTCTATATTAGCTCCTTTTTTGTATTTTGAGCATAGATGTCTCCTGCAGTCCTATCTCTTTATTGACTTGCTATTTTTTTGCATCTAATTCCTATTGATAGGATCTTGAATTCTTAAGCAAAAAACTTTATATCAGTTTTAGAGGCAAGTCCTTACATTATTTCTATAAATGTATGCTATGATATTGGCTTAGTGATTTAAAGGGGCATTGCCAAACTATTCTAAAATAACAGGAGTGTTTTTCCCAAGTCTCTAATACATCTTTTGGAAGATTAAATAGGCCCTATTTAAAATTAACCATATGCTTATTATGCTGTAAATTACCTATACTATATAGATTTCAATGAATAAAGTAGATTGCTGAACAATAGTCTTCAAAAAGAATTAAAAACTCGGAAGGTGAGAGGTTGCCCAACCTTGAAGTAATATTAGATAGTTACAGAATTACAATTTTATTTTTATTTAATAATACTTTTTATATCTACAAAAAGTGTAGAAGACAAAATAAAGAAATATTTTTAAACAAGAAGCATGCCAGATAAGAGTCTTCTGAATACAAAGTTAAGAGGAACAGCAAAAAAATGTTGAATTGAAATAAGAAATATTAGGCTCCTCAAGATGATTTTAATCTGAAAATTGAATTGAAAATGGCCCATTAGAGCTTCAACAGCTGCAGTTGTATACCATTGCTAGTATATTATGGCACATCATATTATTAGCTGTATATCTCAGTTTATAATATTGAAATGTTTTATTTTTTATTTATTTTTTCTCTCCAGAATTAATGAGTTTAGGTCTATAAGAAAATTATAACTGATACTTAGTGAGATTTTAGTTTACCAAACAAAGTAAATGTATCTTATGTGAAGTTGATTCACAGCACTGCTGATGGTTTGATGAAGATGGATATTTAGAAACTGCAAATAAAGAGAATTTAGAATTTAATGTGTATGTGTCTCAGCCTCTCTCGAGGGAACAAGATGTACTGAACAGGTATAATCACGCGGATAGGCTCCAAATGCAGTTGTTGCTTTAAGATGGGAAAGAGGAATGCTGAAAAGCAAATTGATACTTATTAATTGTCAATATGCTTTTTATTGCTTAATTTTTAGTTGATTAATAAATAATAGTAAAGAGCAGGTTGTGTGTGCTTTTCCACAACTCCATCTTCTGTCTCCATTGTGACCTTTTATGGATGGGATGCTCTGCTTAGTATCACTTAAACTTGGTCATGTCTCATTTATTGCAGTGTATTTTATATGGGGCAATCCCTGAAGACCACCTGGAAGTTTTAACTGGCCCAAAATGCGGTGACTCCAGGAATTATGGGTGCTACTCAAAATAATACCATTAGTTGTTTATTTGTGATTGCAATTGAAGAATCTCATTGTCTCTTTAAAGGCCTTCATGGCTTAGAACCCGGGTATCTTTTGGACTACTTAACTCTCAGCAGTTTTTGCTTATTTTGTCAGAATCTAGAAAGTAAGAGTTTATCTGGATCTCTATCCGTAGATAGTGTCACCTGTAATGTTGGCATCATGGGCCCTTCTAAGTACCTGCTTCCCTTCACTAGAAAAGCATTCTCCTAGAGGTCAAATCAGGCCTAATGTTCTTTTATTTCTGAAAAATAATTAATACTTAGGAGGGGGGAATCCGGTGTATTTAATGTTGATCCCTCCTGCAAAGAGAATACTTATAGTTCATTGCTGCCTTGGGTTTTTGTGCATTTTTAAAATCTGGTTACTGTATTAGTATATAAAAAACTCAGTCACAAAGTGGAACAGCATGTAATTCTGTTAAAATAATCAAACCACTTTTTAAACTGAAAATGAAAAAAAAAGACATTTTTGCCATTGTGAAACAGGAAACAAATAGGAAAACTAAAAAGATTATCAACATAATCAGAAACAGAATTTTGGGAAGGATGGAAAGAAAGAGAAGGAGAGGAAGTCCTACAGCAAAATGTCTTCACTATAATGGTGATAATTCTACTACTGGAGACTAAAAGATGAAGCTGCAGAAATATCATCCAGGAAAAAGTCTGTCTATGCGGCCACTAAATGACAACAATAAACTTGGTGGCACAATCAATCAATCATTCAGTCAATATTCTTATGCAACAAATTAGTACTTAGGCACAATTATTCAAATGCAATAAAAATTCATACATTATATAACATCTATTGTGATATGTACAGATAGACTCAAGTTAGCATAAGTCACCTTGTAAGATGAGTGGCCCATAAATTGTATAAATAAATTAATAAATAAATTATTTTAAAGAGGTATTTTTAAGATGCTACAATTACTCAAGAACTCTAATTCAATTTTACCTTTCAATAATAGCATTTGCATTGCCAACTAATACTAAATTAACTGTTAAAATATGTAGGTAGACTAAGGATAATAGATTTTATTATTCAAATTATTTTCTGTATCAAAAAGTGCTGTAAAAAGTGGAAGCTATTTTAATAGCCCTTTGGTTAATAAGAGTTATGAAACCGCACAGAACGGTAGTGGCCAGACGTTGGTGTACATTTTCCAATTCACTATACATTTCTTCTAACGTATAAAGGTTTTAACCGTTTTAGTTTCAATAGTTTATCATCTCACACTATTTATTCTACCAGAACACCAACTCTGGAGAAAAGCAACTCTGAACAAGTGTAATAGAGATGCCCCCACATATAAAATAATTATAAAAATAGATCTTTGATAATTATATATGGTGTAAAGCGGAAACTGCAGTCTTCAAATTCTCATCTTCATAATAAATTCACTGCATGTTTGGGATCAAGCCATGCTATATGGATCTGGTTCTTAACAATATGTTGGGAATTAAAATAATTTTGCACTTAATAATAGGTATTTTTTGTATAATTTTATTGAAGACTTCTTTTTAAAAAACCAATACTAACTAATGTAATATAAGAAAAAGAAGAAATCAAAGAGAAGGCTAAAAGTGCAAGAAAGAAAAAAGGAAAAAAATAGAAAAGAAAGAAAAAATATACAAAGAAGTAGCTTCTGATCTTTATAGCAATTAT